TAATTATATCATCACGACTTCTCCGCATCATCTATCTATACTACTACCACCGTCTTGATATCCTTTCTCCCAGTCTCTTCGACTTCCTAGGGTGTACCGCGAAGCTAGATTAATAAATATATGTCCCTTGGTCCCCTTCCGCATACTTCCTTGCTCAGTTGCTATATCGGTTATACTTCCAACATATCCCTTGGGGAGTTGACGATTGAACCCTTGGTGCCTGTCAGGGATCTATTGATTATTGATTGACGTGGGTTGCCCTGGATTATTGTTCACGAATTTGTCCGAGGTAAGCTGGACCCTTCTCCCATGGTCCCTTGGCGTGCAAGATCCATGGTTCCTCTCCCTTTCATGCGTACGACTCATCGCCACCCACCTCATTGACCGGCGGGTCTGGAACACACGGATCGAACGGAGCAAAGAACGTCAAAACTGACTTTTATTCTCCTCTGCTGCGCAATGTTAGTTCTCGACGGCAAAACTTCCACATTTGCCAGTTTTTTTTTTTTTTACCATATATTCAACGGCCCGGGGCCTGTCGAGCAACATTCCGGTGCCTTTCTACCACGCATTCCGCGGCTGTGTCAGCGACGCACTGTTCCCGTCGACTGTCTCGTCATACATTTTTCAGGTCGCATTAGGAAATCAAGGGCAGCCAATCGCCTTACATGTTGAACTGCATTCGACGCATTGAGCTCTCCTGAGATATCCGCATTCGAGCCATAGAGGTAGTTCCTTTCCGTACTGTCCCTTTCAAAACGCAGTCCAGTCCACCTCACTTGCCCTCTTTATGTGTGGCGCATAGACGGTAGGCGAAATCCAAATCGTCACAATGGCGCCCTCAATCTGGGAAAAGACCAAAGGGACCTCGAAAAAGGGCTTTGATAAGGCATGGCATACTCTCGACAAATTGGGGGACCCTGTGAATCGCTTGTCCAATAAGGTTGGTGCCGAAGCCTTCTGGCCGATGACCCTGGACAGAGAAAGCGACAAGGCAGCTCGCATATTACGAAGCTTTTGCAAAGATGGTTTCTACGCCGATGATGAGGCCGAAAAACAAAGCACAGATGCTGTGAAGAGTGGCAAAATAGATCGCCCCAAGGGCAAGCAACGAGTTATAAAGAAGATCCCCACGGAGGTCATCCAGCGCGCTAAAGGTCTCGCCATCTTTACCACGATGCGTACGGGTCTCTGGCTCAGCGGCTCGGGGGGAAGTGGCGTCCTCTTGGCTAGAATCCCCGAGACCGGTGAATGGAGTCCTCCCTCGGGTATCATGCTTCATACCGCCGGCATTGGCTTTCTAGCGGGCGTTGATATCTATGACTGCGTGGTCGTGATCAATACGTATGAGGCGCTAGAAGCATTCAAGAAGGTTCGCTGTACATTGGGTGGGGAAGTTAGCGCAGCCGCAGGTCCAGTGGGCATGGGAGGTGTACTAGACTCTGAGGTTCACAAGCGCCGAGCTCCCATATGGACCTACATGAAAAGTCGAGGCCTGTATGCAGGCGTCCAGGTAGATGGAACGATCATTATTGAGCGCACCGACGAGAACGAGCGTTTCTATGGTGAGCGCATATCCGTGACGGATATCTTGGCTGGGAAAGCAAAACGTCCTCCGACATCGATTAAAACCCTCATCCAGACCGTCAAGGCGGCCCAGGGCGATAAGGATGTCGATGAAAGTCTGGTTCCTGCTCCGGGAGAACCAACTCCTGGGGATGTAGAAGTACTACCGACCTCTGGTAGTTCTTCTCCTCCTGGCAAGTTTGGAATTCCGGCTCCGGATGACCCGGATCCTTTCGGCGTCAAAGCTTTGGAGGCCGAGGGCCTCTTTATTCGCGAAGCCGGCACCAAAACTCGTCCACGTGTGGATAGCTTTGAATTTCGACCCAGCCCTAACAGCCCTATTTATTCGACCTTCCGCCACAGCGTTGATAGTTCACCACGCAACAGTTGGCGGGCTAGTGTACAGAGCTACTCCAGTATCGACAGAGGTACTCAAACCGACGAACCCCCACTGACGGCCCCGACTACTATCAGCCGCGCCTCATCCCGGAGTAATCGAGATTTTACGGAACGCTCGGAGAAAAACCCATGGGATCATGAGGAGCGTGGATGGGAAACTATTATCCCAGAGCACCCAGTGGAGCACTCTCACAATGCCACCCATGACGGCGACGATGGCCTAGTGGACGATGACGTTGAAATACACGAGGTCAGCAGTGTCACAGTCACGAAATGCGACAGTTTCCCTTCTTCGCCCGTTGAAGATTTGACCTCAACGAGCCCCAAGCGTCAATCACCTACCTTCACTCGTGCGCGACTAGTGACAATCCCCAAGAGGACTCCTCCTGCATTGCCGCCGCGAAATCCTACCGGGGAGGCTATGGGTCAATGTCAACTCCAGTCTCACCTACTGCTGGTCCTCCGTCCCCTAGCAAGCGGTCTGTGGTATCGAGCTTGGGAATGGCGGATCTAAACAGCTTCGCAGAGCTGCCTCTGGACGTAAAGATCGACGCGTCTAGTATTTCATCTACTGAGGCTTCTCACCTCCATCAGAATGACAATGTCGACAAGGATGAATTTCATTCTATCTCGACCGTCGGCACATCCGACTCGGCGTCGGATGGGGGCTTCAGTGCCAAAGATGCTTCGGTCACCGGCACTAGTCCCTCGAAGACCGAAGACACTTACCACACTTTTGATGATATAACCGGCAACACCCTTTCCAAGCTTCAGCCTCGTCACCCATCGGACGTCGCAAAACCAACCGCCACGGAATTAGAACACTCAACAACCATCACCGAACATCACTACAAATCTGCAATGCATTCTTCACTTGCCTAGACGCTCTACTCCCCTCATTGCTCCCTCCGGTTTGCTGTACATACTACCTGACATACCTCCACCTGGATGATCGTCCCACTGTATATGGCGGCGTCGCGAACGTCACACTATATGTATTCGACACCAGACTTCACATGCCTCCTACTTTCTTTCCTCTTTCCTTCTTTTTTCTTTGTACCCTCTCATCTTATCTTATGTAATTTGCACCTACCCATACAGCCACTAAAATATTGCTCTCTTGTTTGCTGTTGCTTTTAGCGTGCTTTTTGTGTTTATTTGGAACATGCGGAATGGAACGCTTGGGCGTCATGGGTTGTTTATATTTCTCGACTTGATGATTGGGGTGTTGGAAGTATCCCTTGGCTAAGGGTTAACATGGACATGGACTATGTTGGTTATATCGTTTTGGATGTTTCTTTATATCCCCTTTTGTTACCTACTCATGGCGGCGTCCCGAGTCGAAGTATTGTCCTTAATGAAACAATTGTATGTTGAATATATACAATCTCTTCCGAATTTCCATAATACCGTAGCTCATTAGATCTATAACATGTTTTTACTCGATTGTCTCTTTTCACATCAGCCGGAGTGACCATCACATGATTCAACCCAGATGAGGGGTAAGATCAAATATAAATAAGCCCAACAATGAACCCCCTCTCCAGCATGGCATCTGCAACAACCATCCCATCTCAGACCCTAGCCATCACTCACCACCGAACAAACGCCATCATGTCCAGACGTCTCATCCCAGATGATACCCGAATCCAATTCGTCAAGCAAATGACCAAACATACCTTCACCAACCCCGCAACTGTTTACGAAGCCCTCTGCACCCCTGGCTCCATGAGAATCATCACCCCCCACCGGTTAGACGGACACAAAGACCTCGCCCAACTCGGCGACGCAGCCCTACGTCTAATCCTTACCAAAGATGGCTACCAGGCCCATGCAACAAGAGGTAGGTTACTCATTATCCCGCATCGCATGACAACAAACTAACCCCATAATCCACCAGGACAAATCAACAACACCCACAGTAGCAAAGCCAGCAATGCCTTCCTAGCAAGAACAGGCTTTCAAAAGGGCCTCGACCGCTACCTCTACGTCAACCCCTCGCAGGGCGGTACCGTCTCCGACAAAGTCATGGCCACAACTGTTGAAGCCATCTTGGGCGCCGTCTACATCGACAGCGGCGAGAACATCCAAGCCGTACGATCCGTGGTGGCGGAGTTGGGTCTCGCTTGGCCTGCATAGAGCTTTCTAGTCTTGTATGAGTGGTAATGTTTTCATTAACCCCGCCCCTTCTTCTATTTATGAGAGCATGGGAACCATGCTGTGCAAATTAATGTGACTTCAGGAGTACGAAATACATACCGCCAGGGAGCTCCCTGGATCCTGCTGTGGGGTATCTCTGCAGCTAGGGGACCGCTTGCACGATTGTCCCGCAGTGACATCATTTCATACTATCTGATGTTTGTAGTATTATCTGGATCTCGCTATTGCACAGTCGTGTAAGCGCCCTCTAGTTGCTTTTATAACCTACGGCAAGGGCGCACGGAGAACCCTGACGGCCTGTGGGGCGTCTGAAGACACGACGTGCGAGAGATCAGTCAAAATGGGATGGATACAGCGTTGGTGGGAAGATGCTAATTGCCGCTGTTCCTGTTAGACTGATCTTTGGGTACTGTCAACTGGTATTCTGTGAGCGGTTACGTAACGTGACTCTGAGGGGTTGAAGGGGCATGGAGAGAATTACTTTGTTGTTTTCAGGCCACAGAGTTGTTCTCAGGGAAATGTACTGTGCTTGGTTCCTTCAACAGGGACTGGGATACACGTCGTTTGCGGTAGTAGTTACTGGTTTACTGTTTCTTTGTCGTTTAAGGCACTTCAACATGCCTAATCTCCATTCATTCGATTTCTGTATCTACATGTCGAACTATATCCCTGCTGCCTAAAGGGAAGTGGTATAGACAAGAGGAACTATTCAGGGTTATAAGTTTCCACTATCGGTTCTCGTGATTGGCCGCTTTCATGATAAAATGTAAGGCTGCATACTTAGTAGGAATAGTGCACCCAGTCGACCACCTAACTATATAAACCTTGACACTCCAAAAAGATATATCAAACCCAAACAACACGTGGGAACAACAAAGCCGTGATTAACCGCCAATAAAAGACAAGCCTCGGTACCAATGACAAACCCCCCCCCCCAATGTATCCCCAAAAGTAAGGGAGAGAGAGCTCCTCCCAGCCACAAACTCACATAAGTTCTAACCTTCTTTGCCCCGAAAAACAAAAAAGCAAAAACCCAATCGTAAACACAAAAAAAAGAAGATTTACTGAGTAGGTTACACCAAAACCGCCACCCGACAAATCTTGGCTCCTAAACCGCGTCGTACAAAACCAACCTGTCTCAGATTGCGCAATGTATGTATGTACGGCGAAACGGTACGTACGGGCTTGCTAAAACCGCCCCAAGACTGAAAAAAAGGGTTTAATGTTCACGTAGGGGGCTGATTAGACTTTCTTCATCGCTGTCCTTGTTGTATGTTGGTTTGTAAACTATGTCACTATGTATGAAGGAAAAGTCCCATCCCAGGAAAACTTTATATCCGAAAGCCGAATGCCGATCGTTCGTTGATCGGCGGACCCGTTGGCGCTTTAATGCCAACCTGGAGTTCGTACTATCTATAATCGGTATTTGATTTTTTCTTTTTTTCTTTTTTTTTTTTACTTTGAAGCATTATCGGTTCTATAAAAGGTTGTGTTAAGAGAAGTAAAAGTGACCCCTCCTTGCCCCGCCACTTTCTTTATCTTGTTCGAAATCCTATATTCTGTATTATTATTGTTTTTTGCAAAATCCAATACTATTTTGGACAGCTCAGAATATGCGTGCTAGTAGTAGTTAGTAGTCAAACTACTCGACTCGGCCGAATAGCAGGATTCAAAGGTATCGTATCGTCGTCTGATTAGCCCCTAATGAAGGGACGAAGGTAGTAGTATACTAGTGGTTCCGGAGCCGCAATAGCCGCATATGAGGTTGGGATGGTGGATTTAGATGCGCAATGCCTCTCTCTCGGGGTACTCAAGGATAGTAATCTACATACACTGCGGTGTGAACGGCGTTATCAGAGGAGGGTCACCTTTGAACTCCTTCTTACTGCCGACTATACCTGCTACGTCATAGCGCTCGGGTGAGAGGGCGAAAAATTGACTTTGACGCGCGCATTAGCCTCGCTGGATTTCCGTTATGGGTTTATCGCATGAGGGGGATGTCGATCATGCACTGCTGTACTGCACTGCAATCCTGGTGGTGAGCATGATGAGCCATCATGCTGCACACCCTTCTCCGTTCGATAGAATTGCAATCGTTGGAATGTCGATTGATAAACACCAAACCCGGGGTATTCAGAATGATCCGAAAAATGTTGCAAGGAATGGCCGATGACGTCGGATCGCGATCGAGGATCGAAGAGAGGCGTGAAACCTGGCGATTCAGCACAGGACGCCAGACAGACAGGGTAGGAGGAATTGACCCTTTGGGGACAAATGAAGAGAACGAAAACGTTGCTTAAGAAGCGAGGGGGCCCGCTTTTTCCACGCTAACGCTTCATTCGGACATTCTCGTAGCGTGACTAAAAAGCATGCCCCATTCATGCCGTTTGTTACCATATCAACTGCTCATATGACATGCGGTATCGTGATCAAACTCTCCGAGATTAGCGCGAGACGGCTGTCTTCCATTGATGCCTTGGGGTGAGAGGGTCAATCTGCCCCAGTGTTGTGGTGGTGGCTGTGAGGTTGCGACGTGCGAAGGATCGTCTGCCGGGATTGTATAGAGCCAAGATCGCCTCACAATTGGGCGAGAAGCATCACCCGAACCAAAAGAAAAGCCCATCAACACCGACTGGACCAGGGTGTAAGGCGACGAGGAAGGCGAGCCAACAACAACAACAACTAAACAATAACAACCAAACGGCGTCGCATCTACTGTACGAGGCGGCTGGGCGAAACCCACCAGCTGCGAACTGATGAAGCGGTGAGCGTTGCGTGGCTCCACATGAGCTATGGAGAAAAAAGTATCCGCCAGCAAAACAATCGCTGCAGCCCCCAATCAGCGTACAGCATGCATATTAGACCTAATATCATACTTTACTTGCGGCAAGTAGGTCCTCGAGCTGACTGTTTAGCTCCCTAATGGGCCAATACTTGGTCAATGCTGTGTTGATACTAGGCGAAAAAAAATTTTTGCAGTTACATGCATCATGGCCTTTGCTCAATCCTCCACGCCAATTGCGACGACTCATTGCCTATAAAGAGCAGGCCATAGGATACCAGAGAAACCCCGAATTCCTCTTCCTCTCTTCATCTTCCTAAAGAACTTGCACGTTGTTGCCAGCTTGGCGTTGTACTTCTAACTGCATATCCCCTTCTCTTGCTTTGTTTGTTTATCTTCTTCTATAACACATCGACCAATGTTCAGACAATACTCCAATTTCATATCCCACAAGAGGAGAAGAAGCAAAAGTACTTCCCGGGTCTTGTCTGTTGCCCAGTCCGAAGCGGCCTCCGATGCACCAACCGTAAATGAGCCGATTGAGATTTGGACTCACTCGCAGCCCATAGACGCTGCTGTCCAGCAACAGAACGACTGTTTCACCACTCTGACTGCACGGATACATAAATACGATCATGTGGCCCAAAGAGGTAGCGATCGTTTCTTGGAAGACTTGACGGCCACCCTCGATAGCGAAGAGGCCAAGTCGAAAAGCAGCTATCTAACCTCCCCGGTGGGAAACTACGCTAGCTTTTTGTATCCAGAGTGCATGCCCGAAAGGTTGGAACTCGTCGCCTATTTGACTGAACTCGGAAATGTCCATGACGGTACGTTGACCTGGCTACTAGATGCGAGCCTATAGCTGATCATTCATCCAGACCATGCCGATAACAAGAACACACCCGCGACAGACAAGCCGGAAGAGCTTGTTGAATCGCCCCGCGCCGAAGCCAGGAAGAGACTCCTGGAGAAAGTTACGGGAGAACTGACCGACAAAGATGGGCTTGACATTATCGACTGCTACCGAAGTAACTGGCTTGTTACCCCGGATGTCCCCACCGCCGACAATTGTGCCAATCTCGACGACTACGTGGCCCGTCGGCGTCTGAATGCAGGAATTGAGTAGGTTTATCACATGCCTCCGAGTTCGATAAGGTGAGACAGACTCTGACTGGTACAACAGTGTTTACTGGACCCTGATGGGATTTGCCCACGGAACTCGATTTGGAAAGGAGGACCAGGCGATCGTCAAAGATGCGCTGGACGCAGCTGAGCGAACCATGTTCTTCACCAACGACTACTACAGCTGGCCGAAAGAAAAGCTCGAGGTCAAGAAACGTCGCGTTGCGAATGTGATATTGTTCCTCATGCAGCACCAGAACATGTCGGAGGATGACGCGCGTGCGAAGACCAAAGAGCTCATTCTGGAAAATGAAAAGGAGTTCGTCAAGAGACGCGAGGCGTTATACCAAGCCCACCCAGACCTCGCCCCAAAGCTGCGAAAATGGATGGAGGTACTGGAAGCTGCCCTTGGTGGAATTCACTACTGGTGCACGAATGCACCACGGTACGCGGTGCCGGAAACCGCCGAAGAGGAAAGTGATGAGGAGTCGGACGAGGAGAGCTCTAGCGACGAGGACGAGTCCGAGGAAGATGATGAAGAAGAAAATGAAGAGGAGGAGGAGGAGGTGCGTGCCAATGGCGTTGTTGACCATGTAGAGGGTGGCGATGAGCCCGAGGAAGTACCAGTGTGGACCCCTCTCGTCAATGGGGAAGAACACCCCGCGGTACACCTTGATGCCACACCCCTACTAGCGCCAACAAACTACATCGGGTCGATCTCGGCTAATGAGGTGCAACTGGAGTTGGTTTCTGCACTTAATGCCTGGCTTCAAGTTCCCAACCGACCTTTGACCTTTGTCAAGCAAGTGGTCAATGACCTCCATGACAGTTCTGAGATCCTGGCCAACATTCAGGACCAATCATCTCTCCAGCGCCAAAAGACTGCGGCTCACCTTGTCTTCGGTCCCGCTCAGTCCATTAACAGTGCTGCCTACATGTTCGTCCGCGTCGCCAAGACCGTGAACGGGCTCAACTGCCCCGGCATGCTTGACGGCCTCCTGGAGGAGCTTGAAACGCATTTTATCGGACAGTCTTGGGAGCTGAACTGGCGCTTCTCTCTTCAATGCCCGACTGAGCAGGAGTATTTGGAGATGGTCGATAAAAAGACCGGATCTATCTTCCGCATGTTGGTGCGTCTCATGCAGTCCGCTAGCATGGAAGGCTCGGCCCTGGACTTTGAGCTTCTCACACAATTATTCGGCCGATGGTACCAGATCCGCAACGAGTATCTGGGACTGCTTACGGGCAACAACCAAAGAGGCTTCGGTGAAGATCTGGATCACGGCAAAATCTCGTATGCGGTCGTCAGGTGCTGCAACGTAGACCCTACCGCCAAGAGTATCATCCTGGGCATCTTTAGACAGAAGGCCGAAGGTGCCTCATTGTCTGCCGAAAGCAAGATCCAGATTTTGGAGCTCCTGCACAAGAGCGGTGCCCTCCAGGCGACTTATGACTTGGTCCGACAGCTGGGCCGGGACATCATGAAGACTGTCAGCGATCTAGAAATAGCCGCAGAAGAGACAAACCCCGGGCTCAAGGCCCTTGTGAAGACACTGGGTGATATCCCAGCTCCCACTCAGGAGTGAGAAACGTTTCGAGAGCACGTGTTTGCTCTATGATGCATGACACTGTTCTATCCTTTTCCTTTCCCCTTACCTACCTATTCCCTTTTTATACATCCGTGATGATTAATGTATATGACACTCATTTCTGTAATGGTTCTAAGGCGATGTTCACATGTGTTATGAATAATGAGATGATTTGTTTGCTTCAAATGTCTGGGTTGTACGTTAGTGTCTGATTATTACTCCTTGCAAAAAGTCAATATCTTATCCGATTGTGTCAACAGCACTTTGAGCGTTTATTGTTTCTCACACAAAGGACATCCTTACCAGGAGTATAATGGCCTATTAAGCACCATGTCTGTCAATGAGCGTCAAGGATGCTTGGTGGACATGGTGGGATGTTACCGAGTTCGATGTGTACAATAACTCGAAGCATTTATGTCTGCAGCGTCCCATGTTGACCTAGTGTCTCATGTATACTATTTCTGGTTTTGATTGTAGGCAAGGTGAAGAAGAGAAACAGGGAAGTTGGGGATTTTCCTGGGCATTCCGATGGATGATCCGGAGAGAGCTAGACCCATTCCGTCAATAACCTTAGAAATAAGTTTAATTTCCCTACTGGTTGGATGTACAATTTGGAAGGCACAATACATAATACATACATAGTAGTAATATCAAGTGAGTATTCTTTGTTACCTCCCAGGGTCCCTAGAAGAGACAAAGGATCTTTATTCCTAGAGATGGCACTAAAATGAGGCCTTCTCTCCTGTGTTTGCATCATAGGCCCTAGTCCCTGGTTTTTAGTGCTGGTCAAGGTGGAGTCTGTTGGTACTCCGCCAATCGACGCGCCTTATCACAATATCTCCTCCGATACTGTTACATTGATCGTCGCTTTCGCATCCACCAAAACCGCCCGGCTGGTCCGTGATAAGACAGGCCTCCTCACTTAGGATGCGGAGTTCTGAGGTTCATCCGGTGGCCGAATTTAAGTATAAAGCCTCCCTATTATCCACCCTGGCGCCCGCATTATTTCGATTCCCTCCCAAGCTTCGCTCCCGAGTTGAGATTTGGGCCACCACCACGTCCCATGCCGTCCCTTAAGTCAGTGATTCATACTGCCGGCCTGGTCGGTGCCGTCGCCGGCCAGTATTTCCCCCCAACCCCCGAGGCCTGAAGATCATCAATTCGAAGCATCAGGAAGGTGTTAAGATCTCGTACAAAGAAGTAGGTGTTATATGCATCTGTGTTGCCCATGTTTGATACTAACCGAACTTTCGTCAGCCTGGTATTTGCGAAACAACCCCAGGCGTCAAATCGTATTCGGGTTACGTGCATCTTCCCCCGGGTACTCTCAATGATGTGTCACTAGACCAAGACTATCCCATCAACACCTTCTTTTGGTTCTTTGAATCTAGGAATGACCCTAGAAATGCCCCTCTTTCTATTTGGATGAATGGTGGGCCAGGAAGCTCTTCGATGATCGGCCTGCTGCAGGAGAACGGCCCATGCCGCGTTAATAATGACTCAAATACCACCGAAATCAACCCGTGGTCATGGAACAACTATGTGAATATGCTCTACATTGATCAGCCGAATCAAGTCGGCTTCAGTTACGATATCCCCACCAATGGTACTTATGATCAGCTTACGAGCAAGTGGAATGTTTCAAGCTATCCGGACGGTGTTCCGGAGCAGAATAATACGTTTTACGTGGGCACCTTCCCTAGCCAGAACAAATCGACCGCTGCCAATACCACAGAAAACGCCGCCCGCGCTTTGTGGTCCTTTGCACAGACTTGGTTCTCGGAATTTCCGGAGTATAAGCCGCACGATGACCGAGTAAGCATCTGGACAGAGCCTACGGAGGACGGTACGGGCCATCTTTCACTGCTTTCTTCCAAGAACAGAATGAGAAGATTGCCAACGGGTCCATTGAAATAGACGATGCTCACTATATTCACCTGGATACCCTCGGAATTATCAATGGCTGCATCGACCTCCTGGTGCAGTCGCCATCGTACCCCCAGATAGCATACAATAATACATATGGCATTGAGGCCATCAACAAAACCGTATACGATACGGCGATGGAGGCTTGGAGCAAGCCCGGAGGCTGCAAGGATCAGATCATCGAATGTCGTCGGTTGGCCGCAGAGGGAGACCCCAAGATGTACGGCAACAACGCGACCGTTAACAAGGTTTGTGCCAAAGCGAACGATTACTGCAGCAACCAAGTAGAGGGCCCGTATTCGCTATACTCTGGACGAGGCTACTATGATATTTCGCATTTCGACCCCGATCCCTTCCCCCCTCCGTACTACTTTGGTTTCTTAAACCAGCATTGGGTCCAAGGAGCCCTCGGAGTTCCGATCAATTTCACCGAGTCTGTCGATAGCGTCTACAATGGCTTTTCCGCAACAGGTGACTACCCGCGCTCTGATGTACGCGGATACTTGGAGGATATCGCATATGTGCTAGACTCCGGCATCAAAGTTGCCTTAGTATATGGCGATCGGGATTACGCCTGCCCCTGGAACGGGGGAGAAGAAGCAAGTTTGAAGGTGGATTACTCGGATGCCGCCAAGTTCCGCTCTGCAGGTTACGCCCCTCTGAAGACCAATGCATCATATATTGGTGGCTTGGTACGGCAGTACGGAAACTTCTCGTTCACTCGCGTTTTCGAAGCAGGTCATGAGGTGCCGGCATATCAGCCGGAGACGGCGTATGAGATCTTCCACCGTGCATTGTTCAACAAAGACATTGCAACGGGCAAGGTCTCTACCGCCAAGAACAGTACCTACTCCACTCATGGGCCTTCTACGACCTGGAACGTTACCAACACGGTTCCTGACAGCCCTGCGCCTACTTGCTACATTCTCGAGCTGGGCAGCACTTGCACGGAAGAGCAGACTGCGAGTGTCGTGAACGGAACTGCAGTGATCAAGAACTATATCGTAGTGGATATAGATTCGTCATGATGATTAGATGCTCAGGCCAGATTTGAGCATGTATTGGTATTTCTACCAGACAATATTATTGTACCTAGAATATTCCTATGAAGAGTAGATAGAATGATAGTACACAGTAACTAGTTCGTTAACTAACTATAGTTACTGTATTACATCAGAATGGTTGGATCATGTGAAAGACGTGGGGCTACTAGGCTAAACCGTAAAAAGAAAGTTCCCGTGGGATCCAGTGATTGAGGGACTAAAAGGACTGCCAGCAAACGAGTTGAGGCAGCAGATATGCAACGAAACCACCGGTACTGTATACAATGTCTGCTCCAGCGTGATGGGTGCAATCGATACAATCTTTTCAGACTAGGGATAGTATGGTTTTCTCCGTTCTTATGGCAGAAAAAAGTACGGACTTTTGGTATCCGAACCTTCTCGAACCTTCGATTGGCAGAGAGGCTTATGCGGTCAACGTCACACGTCACAGTGCTGCTCCATCGGGACTGGTCTGTCGTCACCTGAATGCCGCCGTCTCGCTGCACGATACATGAAGCCACCTTCTACCCTCCTCTCAGTCTCCATTTGCTAAATGCCGGCTTATTCGCTTTCGGTTTACGGTGCATCTTTTTAAGTCTTTCACTTCTCGTTCCACATACCACCCCGAATAATCTCTCACGCCGACTCTCTCTCTCAAGGCAAGAATTTACTCGGTCGCGAATCTTCTACGTCATTCGAGATCCTACTTCCTTGCCGTCGAGGTGGGAAGACCTTTCGACATTGCCTGACATCGAGCTGGTCTCTTACCCGACTTCATTGTCTTATATTCTCATTGGGTCCCTTGAATTAGGGTTTCGTTGATTTTTGCTTGTTCTCAATCTCACTGCATAATTACCCCACTCATTACCGATTGTTCCCACAATGGTTGCAGAAACTAAGCTGTACGATTCTTTGGGTATCAAACCCGACGCATCACAAGACGAAATTAAAAAAGCATACCGGAAGTGCGCATTGAAATATCATCCGGATAAGAACAAGGATAACCCGTCCGCATCGGAGAAGTTCAAAGGTAGGTGACTTATCCGTGGCCCCCCCCTTCCCCTCCCGTGTTTCCCCAACATGGAATTCCACATACGCTTCCTTTGCCTCAATGGTTTTGGATAATAGCTAACACATTCACAGAGGTATCACAAGCCTACGAAGTTTTGTCCGATCCCGAAAAGCGCAAGATCTATGACCAATTCGGCCTTGACTATCTGATGCGGGGCGGCCCTGCTCCTCCGCCCGGTGGTGGTGCTGGCGGTGCTGGCGGTGCTGGTGGAAGTCCGTTTGACGGTGGAATGCCGGGGGGTTTCTCATTCGGAGGCATGCCTGGAGGAGGTGGTGCCCGGACCTTCCGTTTCTCGACTGGCCCCGGCGGTGGCAGCGGCTTCCAGTTCAGCTCTGCAGATGATATCTTCCGAAACTTCGCCAAAGGTGGCGGCTCTGGCATGGATCATGAGGATCTGTTTGATATGCTGG